ACGCCCACGCGAGAGGTCGACCCCCAGGTAGGCCATCTGCTTGGCACAATGGATCTCGATGCCACGCTTCTTCAGAGCCCTGACCACAGCACGAGCATCCGCCATTGAAGAACAAGACACCGTACTCTTGTTGGCCAGCGTGAGCTTGACATCTGCCAAGAGGTCGGAGGTCGAGGTCACGCCGTCGATCAGCGCCTGTCGTACATGAGCACCAGATCCCACTGCCGACTGCGAAAGATCGTCGATCCACAAACGCTCCGGGAGCCCAGGATGCATGACCGTCAGGCGCTCCATGACCAGGCTGGTGACACACCGCGCGAAGCGCGTGCCACTACGGAGCCCCTGCACGATGCTCCGAGTGGCCTGGAAGGGGAGCGACACCGCGTCGCCCTGATCTAACATCCTCGGGCTCGCACATATCTGAAGTTCCAATCCTAACATTACTGCTGGGAACCCATACCGAAAGGCCCCCCTGATAAGAACATCCCATTCCATCATGTCATAATAACTCTGAATATCCATCAATGCGTGACCGTTGGCCATCTTGAGCCTAGTGTACACCTCTTCATTCAACGCCTTCGTGTACGCTTCGCGGAGGGCACTGTTGCCCTTCACCGCAGCATCCCAGTCGGGCTGCGAGGAGACAGCCCGCCTTTGCACAACTGGTTCGCGTGCCAGACTCCACACCCTGCAAATCATGCAAATCAATCCTATGACACGGAACTGGCCAACGGTCTTCTTGGCTAATAACTTACCTACGACCCCCATGAGCTGCCACGGCCATGCCTGACAATCCTCAAACATGTTGTATAATTGCGCCAATTCAGTCAGCGCGGCATCTGGCAGCCTCTGAAGATCGATGGGGGATAAACGATCCAAACCCATCCCCGCACGCGCCTTCATAGCCCTCAATGCACGACGAATGTCTTCTAAAGAAAGAGGCTCCAAAGGTTCTTCACGGGCCCGCGCGTGGATGGTCTCAAACAACTTCTCAGCCTGACTGCATGTCATATCAGGAGATGTCCATAGCTTGTGATACTTCTCTGCGCGGTGCTCCACCGCATCCTTGGGATGGCATACCGTCTCGCCGTTCACGACCACACTATGACTCCTATTCGGCTGCTCCTTGGTGGCTCGAAAGAGCCCTCCTGTAAACTCATTCTGCTGAATCCACTGCTTGAAGTCCGCCAGCGACGCCGCAAGTGCTCGAGACCGAGCCCTGCAAGCAATACGAGCGGCTTCTTTGGTGAACAACTCGAGCTGCGCCAAAGGGATCTCATGGAGACTCTGCAACACCGACAACCACAGGGGCCATGACGTCGCATCCCTACGTGCGCCAACCATCTTCTGAACACCATCGGGGAAATGACCTGCTAACTTACGAGCTGCTTCACACAGCACTTGAACTTGGGTTTTCCGTTATCACGCCTAACATGTTTGGTGACCTTGCCGACAACAACCGAGATGCGCTCCCACCAGTTCGCGATGGCATCCTGGAAGGGCATGTCCCGAAAGTGAGTCGACTGCCGCACTGGATGCGCTGACATGGTCGGTCCTGTGGCCCTGGATGGGCCTGCTCCTACTTGCTCGTCTAGATGCATCTCCTCCACTGCTGTAATCCATGCCGAGAAAGCGCCGCTGACCGCCAGCACATACTGGCCTCCAACACGGAATGACAACGATCTGGTAGGATGGGTTTCCAAACGTCGTCAAGGGAGTGTGAGGTGGAAGCCTCAGGGGGCGAGCCGAAAGCCAACGGGAACATGAGGTAAGCAAAATCAAAACCGCACCAGCAGCAAAGGGCGGAGCAGCGGAGGCCCTAGCAGTGGGGATGCCTCCTATCCGTCAGGTTATTTCGGCACGGTCTCCTCACTTACCAGCCAGCTCTCGCTGGGGCGGGATCTCAACAGTATCATCTGACGGGGCTCTAACAGTCTGGCGAAGAGCGACCTCCAGATCTCATAGGGGCATCGCCAAACAATGGGCTGGCGTTCGCAGGAGATGGCGCCCGACTGCGACGGCCGACGAGGGAGGGAGCGGGGAAGGACGGACAGGGTCACTAAAGTTGGCCTCCTCGGCCCATGGGTCGACCTCGTCTTCGTCCAAAAAACCAAAATGACACCCAGCCCACACTTCAGGGTCCTCGAGGTCCTCAGCCTCAGGCGCAGACACGGGGCCAGAGCCAGAAGTACCCACAACCCCAGCACTCGTGTCATCGGGCTGGACCAAGAGGTCTGAATACAAAGCATGGGTGCGCTCCAGCTGCTTTTCACGCGAGAGGGCCTGCTGCACGGCGCGCTTCTTGCGAGCGAGAGAAGACTTCGACCCCTCCGCCGCCTGCTTCTGAGGCCTCGAGACTTGCGCGAAGCGCTCGGGAAGTATGAGAGACCGAGTGATCAACTGCTTTCCCGAGCCACGCAGCTGGAGCAAAAGAGCACAGTGCGGACGCCACGGAACATCTTCCATCGCGCTGAGGCCAGCAATGTACGGCACTGCCGACGCAGAAGCGACCGCAAAATCGATGTGCGTGGATCCACTAGAGCTGACACAAGTATATTCGACAGGGGCCTGCAGTACTGACGCCCCGAGCCGAGAGACCCACCCCGAACGCTGGAGCTCGATCGGAGACTGGTTAAAATCCCCCAGGACAACCCAGGGCAACTGCAAAGCTTGAAGTAACGAACCTAGTCTAGCGAATCGCCCAAGATTCAGACCAGAAAACTTCAACCCACACCTACTATAAAACCTGACAATGACGATACTAAAGCCCTGCAGATGTACAACCATGGGCAGAAAACCATCTAGCATAGACTGGCCTGACTCACATAGTGCACCAAGCTTGCCATCCGCTAGAGGATGCGCTTGCCTGTGCCCCTCAACCAGAAACATCTCACCTCCCTCATTTGCTTTAGCCTGTCCCGTCGATGTCAAACACTGGCGGCCAGTAGGACGAGCGGCGTTCGCATAGCAACGAAGATGAGCTGCCCTGGCCTTCTTGGCCCACTTCGACACCCCAGAAGTCGGAACGTGGGTCTCGCACGAGGCAATGTATTGAACTGAGCGTGATTTTGCCATCTCAGCCAGGTACCCCCATGACTTGTTACCTAGCATCGTGATGTTGCTGAAAAAGACTTGGACAATGTCATTGGACTGCATGTCTGCTTGCGACTGTGAAACTGAATCTAGAACCTCAGCCCCAGCCGAGGACACAGAGGGAGAAACTGCCGATGTAGTCGCCCTCGACGTCGAGGCCGTAGAAGTGCCTGCTGACAGTGACGCTGATGATGTAGACCCAGCTGCTGACGAGGACGAGGCACTGAGAAGCGAAGCGGATGCGGGCACCTGGGCCCCTGGATCACCCCTGGGGCGATCCTCCGCTCGCTCTCATGCCTTGGTGGGCGACGCGCCCGCATCGCCCTTGCCAGCCGCCTTGGCCGCAGCCGCCGCAGCCGCCGCCGCCGAGCTCGCAACTGCTGAAGCCGCCGCCGCCTTGGCTGCACGGATGCGCTCCACCTCCTGTGCGATCCTCGCCTCGGCGTCGGCGTCGACCTCCACCTTCTCGGCCGCGGGACCGCCCGACGCTGGGGCAGGCGCCTCGGCTGGCGGGGCAGCGGCGTCGCCTGCTCCTCCCTGGTGCATGGCGCCGTCCTCGCCCT